AGATTTTCCGTAACTTATGACTTTCATGTAGGGGAAAATCTTTTGAACAAATAGCACCATAGCTCCCTGTCACTTAGCATTCTGACGGCTGTCTGGGGTCAGCCTCCTGGACCTTTCACCCCTGCACCTCCCCGCCCCCGCGTCCACCCCCGCACCTCTTCTCCCTTCCTGAGTTCTTCAGGCCGCTCTCCCTGCAGGCCTGCACACAGACTCTCCTGGGCCCCACCTGGAGGGCTCTGCCTGGAGGGACCCCACCTGGGGAACCTCCGCTGGGGAAGTGCACCAGGAGAGTCCCACCACCCGGGCCCAGTCCTTGCCCCCCGGAGCACGGCCCCTCGCCCCTCGCCCTGCAGTGACCCCTGCTGGGGCCCCGCACAGCCGGCCTCGTGTCGTTCCTGTCCCGTGAGGCCCCAGAGCAGCGGCTCTCACACTCTGGACAGATGGCCCAGGGGTCCCGTTTCTGCAGTTCTGGCTGAGCTGCTGGCGGAGCCTAGGGTTCTGCGCTCCCCGCAAGCCCCCAGGCACTGTCTGCCCTGCAGCCAGAGCACGCTAGGGTAGTGAGGCATGTCTCCCCCTGGGCAGTGTCAGAATCACCCGCGGGGCAGGTCAGAATGCAGGCCCTGGGCCCCCACCTCTCAGAATCCTGACCCAGGAGCTCAGGGGTGGAGCCAGGACTCTGCCTTTCCATCCCGTTCCCGGGAGCGCTGAGCAGATCCGGGGCAAGGCTGTGAGAGCTGCTGCCCAAAGAAGTCCTGAACCCTGGGAGCACGTGGGGGCGCCTGCAGGGCTTCGGAGCAGGCAGAGCGCCCAGCCCCGCCTCTAACACAGGGCTTCAGGGTGATGGGTCAGGGGTGGGACCCAGGTTGGTGTTTGTGTGTCCCAGGCAACTCCGATCTGAGGTCTGGCTGACGGCCACCCTGTCTGGTGGGTCAGGACCCTTGCCCCTGCTTTGCACAGGACCCTCCCTGTGGACACATCCGAGGCCTCTGAAGGCCCCTCCTGCCTGTGGTGAGAAGCCCTGGTTGCACGAGATGGGTCTTGGTGACAAGTGGACAAGAGCTGCCTGTCTGCCTCGGGCGCTAACTGTGCGGAGGGCAGTAGCCGGATGCGGGGCCCTGCCAGCCGCGTGGGAACGGGGAGCCGGGCGGCTGATCCGGGGAGCTTCCCTGCTGCTCCCCCTGCACCAGGTGAGGCCTGGGGCCTGTCCTCCCCGGCCTGGGCCGCAGATGCTCCCATTAGGAGGTTTCAGGGCGCCCCCTGCTGCTGGCTCAGGAACACCAAGCATAGCCTCTGGCTAAGGTGGCCGAGCCGTGCACACACCCAGCCCGCGGCCCGTGCCCTGAGGACGAGCGCCCGCACACCTCGCATCTCCTGGAAGGGTGGGCGGGCGCTCAGGTCACAGCCCTTCCAGCTGTCCCATCGCAAGCCAGACCTTTGTTCACAACTAAGTCCTAAAGCCGCAGGTCCCCCGGACACGGGCTGCCCTGCACTGTGCTCCCTGGAGGGTCCTCCTCCCTGAACCCCTCCCAAGGCCACCATCAGTCCGGGACCCCACCGGTGGTCTTGATCACACTGCTCAGCCAGTCCAGCCTGGAAGCCTCACCCGGCTGCCGGCTGGCTCGCAGGGACCCTCTGGCCAGCCCGCCTTCGGGCACCTGGACTGTGCCTGCTGCTTGAGCGCTGGGGGCCTTACTCACGGCCCCCTCCCCTCCTCTCTCCTCCTCTGGAGCCTTCGCCGTCTCCCACCCATGGTCACTTTCTCCCACGTCTGCAGTCCCAGCAGGTGACCCTGCCCTCCTGCTTGGCCACTCCTTTCTGAGCTCAAAGCTCACCTGGAACAGCTCCAGGCCCGGGTGGGTGGGGCTGGCTGAGAGCGGACTCAACACCTGCGTCCGGGCAGTGGGTCCACCTCGTTTGTGTGAGAGCCGCGACCTGCCCGCCGTGTTCCACAGCTGGGATCTCGGGCCGCGCCTCCTGGGAATGGGCTGCAGGGGGCGCCGCTCTCGCTGGAATGCGAGGCTGGACAGCCGGTCAAAGCTGCCAAGGCACAGTTAGATCTGAAGTTAAGTGCCTAGGGCCCATGTGATTCTTCTCAAAAGTCTTTCCTTCCTTTCGCCGATTTGCGAGAATTTCTGTCCAGGTCCCGGGTCAGTCCACGCTAGAAGGCGTCTCCTGAGCTGAGGGACCCTGGCCTGGGGTGGGCTGAGGTTGCGGCAGTGGGGACCCACCCAGAGCCCGGGGTGGACAGATGAAGTGCAGGACACCCGGACGCTGCAAAGTAGTCACTGGCTATTTGAAGCCCTAACCTAGCCGGGCCTGTGTTTGTGCTTGTAACTGTCAGTCCCGCGCAGCCAGAGCCCCGTGGCCCTGCCTGGCCCCCGGCGCCGAGCGCAGGCCCTGGCCGTGAGCCAAGGTTTTGGGCTCAGGCGGGAAGTGAGAGGGGGCTCCAGCCCCGGAGGTGGAGCAGACACAAGAGGGGCTTTTCCGAGATGCTTCCCCCTGGAGCATCACAAGGGTCGTGGTCACCATGAGGGCCGGGCCGGTGCGCTGCAGCCCTGAGCTCCCCTATCAGCGAGGCTCCGGCCCAGCACACCGGCGTCTGAGCAGCTGGCTAGAGCTGGCCCCGCTGAGCTCGTCACAGAGCGAGCCGGATGGAGCTGGAGAGCTGGGGCGGACTGTGCTGGCCAAGTCCCCCTTCTCTCAAGCTTGGGGCCTGGGGGCCTCAGGGCTGGGATGGGGACATGGGGAGGCCATGCCCCAAAGTCCCAGGACTCCAGGCAGGAGAACCACTGGTGTTAGACGTGAGCTGTGACAGTGCCAGGACTCCTGACGCGCCCACGCGTTCAGGCTGTGTCCCCAGGTGCCGCAGGCTCCTGTGAGCCAGGTCATTCTACTGGAAATACTGCCTTAGAAGGCAGCCTGGGGCCTCAGCACCATGGTGGTGCAGGAATCGTGTCCAGGCCGTAGGTGGGGCCCCGCCTGGGTGGGAGGAAAGGGACCTGGAGGGAGAGACCCGTGATCCCCAACCGTGAGAGCAAAAGGAAGCACAGAGCATGGGGGCCGCCCAGTCCTCCTCCTCCGTGGGCTCACACCCCAACACCGCAGGGCACCGTCAGCGTTGCCTTAGGGTGGGTGAGCGCCAGCATGCTGCCTGGGACGTGGTCCCACGGAGCCCAGTGGGAGTCTGGGCAGAGCTGTGAAGAGCAGGGGGGCAGATGCAGGAACAGGTATGTATGCTGCCCACCCGGGGGGCTTCTGAGACTCCAGACCAGAGGAGGTGCTGATCTGTGATCTTCTGTGTGCACTGGTTGGGGGTTATCCGTGGGGGATGACTCCCCCAATTCCAGGTGTGGAGGGCCCCTTGGGCTCCTGCAGGCATCAGAGCTGGGGTCTCCAAGAAGCTCGGGGAGCGGGGAGCAGGGGGAGGGCGCTGCAGGGCAGGTGAGGCCTGGACAGAGCTCGGCACTGTGGCTGAGGCTGAGCTGGGGGTGGGAGGGGTGCGGTGGGCTGGGGCCGCCCCGGACCCTCAATTCCCCCAGCACGGATGTCCCCTGAGGACACGGCGCAGTGCCCCAAGGCCTGACCAGAGCTGAGTCTGCGTCCGAACTCCACCTGTGTCAGAGCCAGACTCAGCGATCTGGGTGCAGGAAGGCACGGTGAGCCTCAGAGGGCAAGCAGCTCACCTCTGTGATAAAACACTGCGACGCTCACGTGACCCCACCCCTGGGGGTGTCTTCCTTCCTGCTTCATCTGCTAAGGGCTTGGCGTGGTCGCAGTGTTCTCCGTGCCAGACCCTCTGTGGACCATCCACCAAGATCCTCCGCTCCCGGTGCGGTGGGAGCGGCTCCTATTGCCCAACTCACTGGGGAGAAAACCAAGGCTATCGGGTTTGGGGACCCGCCGGAGCCGACAGTAAACAGTGGCAGTGCGGCCACTCTCCTTCCTGTGCCATCACACACCGTGACCCCGTGTGCACACCTGCTCCCTCTGCAGTCTCATTCAGAAGGCCCTGCCCCGGAGCCTCAGCATTCCGAACGCATTTCTGAGCATCACCATGTGGCTGGTTTGCTGAGGGCCCCTGGGTTGCAAGAAGCTGATGCGTCCAGTGGCTGCCCAGACAGAACCATCTGGCCTGTCCCAGGAGCCACGTGCTCCCAGGTTCTGCCGCAGATTCACTGCTGTGGCTCGAGGCCAGCCCGGCCGGGTCTCTGTCCTCAAGAAGCCCAGAGGACTTTTTAAACTGTGGCTTTTTGAAGACAGCGCACGGGTTCCTGAGACTGACCGGAGCAGAAGGACAGCAGCTTACTGGACAGTTGCCGACGTTTAAATGTGTCCAGCACTGGGGGTCCAGGC